AATTTTTTCTTTGTCTCAGGTAACTTCTTTAGAAATAGAAATAATGTGTAATCTGTTGTGGGTTACAGTCTATTGACTTCTCTTCTACTGCCTTTGATTGCAAATTGTCTCATTAATCTGTTGCTTCCTCCCTCTTTTCTGGTGGTGGATTTCTTTTAATTTTTTTTATTCTTAAAGTATCTACACACATAAAAACTCTTCATTAATTTCCACTGAGGTTTTTCCCAGTTAACCCTCACTCCTGCCCTTGGAATCTGCACACTCACTTTCTCCTGCCGTCTGCTAGAGTGAATTCTTCCTCATGAGAGTCACCTGTGCTACAAGCACAGGCCCTGGTGCGTGATCGTCACACCATCGGTAGAGAGCTTAAGTAAATGTCATCTTCATCCAATGAGCTCTGTAGTCATTTAAACAAAAAAGAACAAGGTAGCTCTAGATGTCATGATAGGAAATGACCTGAAAAGCGACTTGTGTATGAAAAGGAAAGCAAGGCACTGGGTATACAGCAGGCTGACATTTGTGAGGAAATGTATCCACTAAAACAGGCCCCGGTGAGGGGAGCTGGGGGCTGGGAGCTAAGGGTGGGAGGGAGACTTTTGGTTGTAAACTCTCTGACACCTTTTGATTTTTGTACCATATGAACATATTTTTTTTTTTTTTTTTTTTTAATCCTCACCGAAGATATTTTTCCATTTTCTGTACAGATAGAGTGGGAGGGAGAGAGAGGAAGGGAGAGAGAGAGAGAGACATCGACATGAAGGGACACATCGAGTGGCTGCCACCCGCACGACCAACCAGGCCGGGGACAAACTGCAACCGAAGTACGTGCCCTCAGCGGGAACCGAACCCGGGTCTCTCCGGACCGCAGGCCGACGCTCTAACCGCTGAGCCAAACTGGCCAGGGCCATATGAACATATTTTTTACTGAAAATTTAATTCATTTCATATGTAGGTAGATAGATTGGCTAGCTACAATAGCAAATGAAAAAGTTATTCTCCTTGTTAAAATGTTAAGAATTAAAAGGCAACTGAAGCCCTGGCTGGTTTGGTTCAGTGATTGGAGCGTAGGCCCTTGGACCGAAGAATCACAGGTTTGCTTCCGGTCAAGGGCACGTACCTTGGTCGCGGTTGCATCCCCAGCCCCAGTCAGGGTTGTGCAGGAGGCGATCAATCAATGTGTCTCTCTCATGTCAATGTTTTGTTTTGTTTTCTTTCTCTCCCTCACACTCTATCTGAAGATTAATGGAAAAATGTCCTCAGGTGACAATTTAAGATAAAATAAAAGGCAATTAAAGCAGGACTACTTTTCCCATTTTGTGGCGCTTTGCACACTTTGCCACCTAAAAGGGTCTCCCAGTCATTAGTGAGAGTGTCAAGTGACTAGAAACGACTTGAAAAGAATGTTGCCTCCCTGGCTCAGGAGGACCTCTCCGCTCATGCCGCTTCAAGCTGGTTTTCCAGTGTGAATGTTGGAGCAACGTTCACTGAACCAAACCAGCCAGGGCTTCAGTTGCCTTTTAATTCTTAACATTTTAACAAGGAGAATAACTTTTTCATTTGCTATTGTAACTAGCCTATCTATCTACCTATTTATATGAAATTAATTAAATTTTCAGTAAAAAAATATGTTCATATGGTACAAAAATCAAAAGGTGCCAGACACTTGGCTGTCCCCTCACCACCCCTATCCGGGACTCTGACCACCCCTGCGGTCCTCAGTGGCTGTTCTCGTTCTGTTGACCTTGATCTTCAGTCACCCATGGGCACAGCTTCTACCCGACTCGCTGGCAGGACTGATTGGACTAACTCTTCTCCGTATTTGGAAAGACTACACTTACCAACTGCTAGATACATGGCTGCAAAAGATGCCAGCTCCTGGCCTAGGAGAGGCTCCCTTTAGTTCGTTACAGGCAAGACCTCCCTGACCTTGCTTCCTTGTCAAATCCGACCCACTCGGAGAAGCCCTGAAGGCAGGTCGTGGACTCGGGATGCTTGCAAAACCCAGAACGGTCTTTTCGTGGGAGCTGACTAGTACACTTGCTCTGTGATATCCAGGGAGGAGCATTTTCTCTGGTTGCTTATCAGGATATTTTAGGAACTTGCAAATCAAAGCCCTTTCCTTAAGCCGGGTTTCTCTACCTCGGCATTCATTAGGTTCTGGGCTGGGTAATTAATTCATCAATTTGAGAGGCTGTCCGGTGTGTTGTAGGGTGTTTGGCTGCACCCCTGGCCTCTGCCCACTCGATGCCACTAATGTTCATCACACTGTCACAACCATAAATGTCTGCAGACATTGCCGGTTGTCCCTAGGGGGACAAATCACCCCTAAGGAAGGGCCAATACCTTAAGCCATGATCTCTCTGTAAGTATAACAAGTGTATCTGCTCAGTTCTTTTTTTTTTCCTGAAATGTGCTTTAAATAACCTTTTTTAATAGGTGAGGTGGGAATGGATGCTCTCCTAAGATACTGTTTCCTGTGCCTTTAATTAAGTCTCTGGAAACTTGTACCTAATTGCTTTGTAGGACAATCTGAAAGTGGTGTTTAAATTGAGTGTATTAATACTGAGTTGCGTGGTCTAGTTTTTACCAAGAAGATGTCCCATTTTATTTGAAATGGTGGGGTAGTAAGTGTATCGCCTGAGTGAGAGGCACCTGACTCCAGTGGCGTGGGCCTGGCTAAGGCAGGGAAGGGGTGTATTTCAGAGCCGCACCCCCACAGGTGTCCTGGGCTCTCTCCACCTGGAATTACTTCGGGAACCACAAGAACTTCAGAGGCTGACCTAGTTCCCCAGGACCTCCCTGGGGCGGCCTTACTAAGGCTTAGAGGGTGCAGGTCTCCTGGGGATGGTCACACCAGATTCCTGAGTTCTAGTGGATGGAGCCTGAATATGTCTCCAAGTTGATGCCTCTCTCTCGTCACTGAGTTGTGTGTCTCAGGATCGGCGTTATTTTAATCTAGTCATGCTCTTAGGCCCTGCAGTTGTCCCCAAACGCCCTTGGAGTGGAACCCCAGTGCCTGCCGCTGGCCGTCAGGGCCCCCCACGACCTCACTGTGCCCTCTCCCCGCAGCCCCCTCCCTGTCGCCCCTGTCCTCCAGCCGCGTCGGCCTCCTTGGGGACCTGAGCTGTCTCTTCTCCCCTCACGGCCTTTACACTTCAGGTCCCTCCACCTGGACTGTCCTCTTCCAAATCTTTTGAGGCTTATCCCACTCTTTCTCGTACTTCAGGCCATCGTAAGTGTCACCCCTGGCCCTGGCAGGTCTTCCTTCATCACGGTGCCAGGCCCCACACGGCCCGCTCTGTCACCTCCTGCTTGCCCTTGTCCACGGCACTTCCACCCATTTGAAAGGCTCTCCACGTAGTTTCCGCATTTGTTACTTGTCTGCCTGCACTAGACTAGAGCATCTGGTCTCATTCCCCGCCTGGGCAGGGACTCCACAGTACTGATTCCTAAGAGAATTGCAGCGGAACTGTCTGAGCAACATCCAGGAGGCTCTGGACCAGATGTAGTTCAGTCTCGTTCCATCTGAAGAGCTGTCTGTGTAGCAGCGAACTGCATTACCTGTGGACGGACATGCTAGCGGTTCTTACCCTGTTCTCAGGATGTTCTGGGTGGATTGGGCACAGTAAGGAGAGAGAGGGCTTGTCCGTAGTCCATAAGGAGGGAATGAAATGGGTCATGCTACACTCCTGTGGCAACATACTTCTTCCTTCCTGCCTTCCTCCCTCCCTCCCCACATAACATGAAATTTACCACTGCATTTTAAAGTGTGCAATTCACTGACATTTAGTACACTCACAGTTTTGTGCAACTACCATCACCATGTGATTTTAGAACATTCTAATCACCCTGAAAGGAAACCCCTGCTCCTCAAGCAATTGTTTTCCATTTCTCCTCCCCCAAGCCCTTGGAAACTATTAATCCACTAGGATTTGTTTATTCTGGACATTTCATATAATAGAATCATACAGTATGTATCCTTTAGTGTATGGCTTATTTCACTCAGCTTGGTGTTTTCAAAGTTCATTCATCTTGTAGCCTGTGTTAAGAAATCATTCCTTTTTATGGCTGAGTAATAGTCCATTGCGTGGATATGCCACAGCTGCTTAACCATTCATTTGTGATAGTTGAGCCATTTCCATCTTTTGGCTATTGTGAATAGTGCTGCAATTCACATTCATATACATGTTTTTGTCTGACCATTTGTTTTCAGCTATTTTGAGTGTCTGCCCAAGGGGGAATTGCTGGGTCACATGCCAGCTGTTTACCTTACTGAAATACTGCCAGACTTTTCCACGGTACTGCACCATTTCACATTTCCACCAGCAATGCGTGAAGGTTCCCATGTCTCCATGTGCTCTCCAATTCTTATTTTCTGACTTTTAAAAATATATATTATTAATGCTATGATAGCCATCCTAGTGTGAGGTGATATCTCACTATGGCTCTGATTTGAACTTTCCTAACTACTAATGATGCTAAGCATCTTTTCATGTACTTGTTGGCTATTCTAGATCTGATTTGGAGTGTGCCTTTATCTTGAAGCTTACATTCTTTATATTGTAAGTGTATGCAAACTCGATCTTCTCTCTTTCTTGGCCATAATCTGCCTCGCGTATAAAATGGGGCTAATACACTTCTCAGGTGAGACGTTGGCTTTTGGCAATTAAAGCACCACTCAGATCTTGTTACTATAATTTTGAAATGTTGTCTTTCTTCTTGTTGCTATCCCACTTGATTGTGTTAAAGTGCAGCAGGAAAGCTTTAGGCTTATTTCCCAAATTGGCAAATTTAATTCGGTTTTAATTTTTCTGAATTTTGACATCTCTGAATCTGACCCATTGTTAAATCCTATAGAGTTTTAGGTTTTAAAGATATTTCAACGTTATTTTGTTTCTTGGCTCATACGCATCTAGCTGAGAGTTTGACTTTTTGCTATTTTAGGGCAAGCAGGTGACTGCTGAAAGTAGTTTTCATTACAACTGTTTTTTCCTTTTCAGAAAAAATTGCCTTTGACAACGCTGGCTCAGTGTTTGATGGAAGGGTCAGCCATCCTGGGAGATGACACACTTCTTGGGTAAGGTGACACCGTGTGTGGGTTGGCCAAGTCAAGGTAAGTCCCCACCCATGCAGAGGGGACCAGCGCTGCCCGGGGAGCAGCGGGGAGCTTCCGGCTGGCCGCAGACCACGCCGAGAGGGAGAAGAGGTTGCCAGTGAGACATGGAAACCCCAGGCCCCAAAGTTCTATTTCCTGTCTGTGTAGCGAGGCAACTCCCAAGTGGAGAATTTAACATAAAACTGTTGAAGGGCAATTGGAATCCCTCAGGCTCCAGGGGAAGCAAATGTGAATCCTCTCAATGTCAAATGTCAGAACTTATGAGGATTCCCAGAAGAACAGCCCTTGCTGGTTTTGAGTTCATAATAAAAACAAACTAAAAATAGAATTGACATGAGAGAGATTCCTCAGGCACAAGGAGTAGGAGGATCAGTACCCTCAGGGAAAAAAATATATAATAGACAAGTATATAGAAAATATAAAATAAAATATATTAAAAATAAGAAAGAAAATATAAAATAATTATGTTTACAATTAAATTTAAAAATGAAATAAGGACATGTTGGCTTTGGCAGCACATATACTAATTTTGGAATAATACGGAGAAGATGAGTGTACCCACTGCACAAGGGTGAATGTTTTAAGAAAAGAAAAATTGTCATGTGTATGGTGACAAATGTTAACTAGGGCACCGTGGTGATCGTTTTGCAACATGTAGCAATGTTGAATCATTGTGCTGTACACCTGAAGCTAATATAATGTTATATGTCAATTATGCCTCAATTTAAAAATAAAGTAAGGACAGAACCAAACAATAAGAAAGAAAAAGAATAGGCAGAATCAAAGAAAAAAAAAACAATAGAAGTTCTTAAAATTCAAATTGTACTTACTGTAATTTAAACACATATTTGAGACAAGCTGAAAATTGCACTCAGCTAGGGAACAGGTGAACTTTAAAACTGATCAGAAGTCGCCACTTAGAATGAGTACAAGAGATGAGGTTGTAGGTGTTGTTAAATGGAGAGGATTGGATGATGGAGCACAAAACCATGTCTAATGGCAGTTCCTAATGGCGAAAATATGGAGAAGGAAAGTTTATGGCTGAATTTTTCTTTTCTAGATTTTTGATTTGAAGAAAGACATGATCTTGAAATTTAAGAAGCACAAAAAGTCCCAAATAAGATCAACACAAAGAAACCTATACTTGGACACATTGTCTTAAAACTGGAAATTATGAACCAAAATGAAAAACATTGAATCCAAGCAGAGAAAAAGATAGTTACACATAAAAAAGCAGTTAGACTCATAACAGACTATTAATCAGCAAAAATAAATGCCAGAAAATAATGGAGGAAAATCTTCAAATATGGAGCAAATATGTAATAATATAAGATTCTATGATAAATTAAATTATTATTTAAGAATAAAGGGGTAATGATATTTCAGGCAAAGATTTACAGAAATTACTACTCATATATTCTCATTGAAAGAACTAAAGTTTATGTGAAATAGATTATGTCCAGAAGAAAACAATGAAATGCAAGTAGCATTTGTAAAAAATAATAATAATAAATAGTGAATATAGTATGGGAAAGAAAAGAATTCTTTTTTTCTCTACTCATTTTAAGTTTCTTTATTGTGGCTCTGCAAATTAAATGGCAAAGGACAGATTAACAAGAGAAAAGCATGCACATGTTAATACCATGTGCAGTGTGTACGCGCAGGAGAACTCAGTCATTAGTAACTCAATGGAGTGGCTAAAACTTGAGCTTATATAGCATCTTAACAACCACAAAAAAAAACCCAATAATTTTTAGAGAAGTGGTGAGACAAAGGAAAATACATTTGAGTTTATAGAGCGAGAAATTATGTGAAGGAGAAACTAGTGGGAGATAAGAGTCGTTAGTAAAGTTTGTTATTTGTTTGGCACCTTCTCAGATAAGACTGTAGAATAGTCTCTGGTAATTAACTTGGTCCTTTCTGGTAGAGCAGGGAAGAAGGACACTTACAAATTTATGTTCTGCTTTTAGGCAAATAGGGGGTGCAGAGAGCTTATTTTGTATCTGCATCTTCTCAATTCCCTTTAAAATAATTCTTATGTCATTGTGGCATATTTCGGCACATTCTGCTACCCTGTATAAATATAAATAAACATTAATGGTAGCAATATAATAATGATTCTTTTGGTGGGAGTTTAAAGCAAAGTGATATTAAAATACTAGAAAATATTAACATGAAACATTGGAAAGGGAATTATTATGTAACATTCTTATATTGTCTGAAAGAAGGATAAAGAGATATTACATTTAAAATAAATGTGCATGTTGGAAAAGTGAGAGTATAACCACAAAAAGAATAGAAATAGAATATATAATTTCAAATCTAGTAAAAGGATCAAAAGGGAAACAAAATAAGAAGAAAAAAAAAACATAGAAGGGACTAAAAGAGAAAAAAGTAAGCAAAGAAAAGAGTAATAAATAGAAAACAAAATGAAGGTGTTAGTAATTACTGCATGTATCTGTAATCAGTAGAAATGTAAATGGAATCCGGCCGGTGTGGCTCAGTGGATTGAGAGGTCCACTGGACTGAGAGGTCCCAGTTCCATTCCAGTCAGGGCACAAGCCTGGGTTATGGGCTTGATCCCCAGTAGGGGGTGTGCATGAGGTGGCTGAATGATATTTCTCTCTCACATTGATATTTCTATCTCTCCCTTCCTTTCTCTCTTAAAAATCAATAAAAACATATTTTTTAAAAAAAGAAATGTAAATGGAATAAACTCAGCTGTTTCTAATATAGAGAATCCCAGGTGGATAAACATGAAATCATTATATGCTGTTTCTAAGGATCACACCTAAAGCGTGTCACACAGGTAAAGGGATGGAGGACACCCAGATAAAGATGACTACTAAACACACACATCTAATTTTGTTCCCTTCCTGATCCACTACAACAAAGAGATTTCTCTTCTTAAAAGACATGAACCCAAAAAGGCAGGAAAGACTAGAGCGAAGACAACAGCATCCAAATGTTGTGCGCAGTAAAATGTGATTGATTGGAAACTGACTTAGCAAGTTCCTGAGACTGGACTCCCAAGACAGAAGGAGGGTATTCGAAAGCCAACACCACATACTCCTTGAAATACCTTCAAGGCTCAGGATTGGTGGCCCTGGGCATCTCTGGAATAGTGTCTTTGGGGGATAGGGCAGTGATTGAAATTATGAGTGTGGGTTGAAAGCTAGTCGAATACCACTTGAATTGCTCAAACTCAGAACTTCACCTCCCCTCTGAGTAAAGAGGAGGCTCATCCCCTCACCCCTAATCCTTGCCGAACTCTGGAGCTTTATTTCCTGGAGGGGTAGAACAGCTTCTCTAGACTGGAGACACGTGTAAGAGCACCAGTTCTTCAATAAGAGACGTAAGTGATCAACTGCAGCTGGACGTTGAGATTCTTCACTGTCTCCCCCACTCACGCAGCCCCCAGACCTCTAAACACAGAAGGAGAAGAGCCTGTATCAGGTGTCTGACCAGCCCAGCAGGATTGTACTGAAGACCTTAGATGTTGAAGGAGGCAGTGCCCCAGGGCATGGCCCAGCTAGATCATCCTGCAGATGAGCTCACAGCTGATGAGTTTCACTTGAGTTTTCCAAACTGCTCAGTCTCTACCCTTCCATGCCGGCAGGCACCAGTATCACAGGCATTTGAAATCCAGATACCAAAACAATTGGGGAAATAAGAAAAAGTAAAATCAGGAAGAAATAGCTATTGCATGGGGGGGAAGAGACGACGTCAGGAAAACCATCCCTTATATTTTCAAGCGAGGAGAGAAAATAAAGCATCTATTTAAAAAATAGGGTGTTAATAAAAATATTTATAGGAAAAACATTTGGAGATCAAAAGCAAGCTGAAAGAAATGAAAAAATAGGACATTCTCGGTAGGTTTGGAAAATAAAGTTGAAGATACCTAGAAAAGGGAGCAAGATGATGACATGGAAAACAGAAAAGTTGGAAAAGTGGAAGTTTTAGGTCTCAGCTGAGTTCTAACAGAAGGAGAGAAAGAAATGATGATGATGATGATGATGATGATGATGATGATGACAAAATGATCTGAAAGCATGGCCCAGAACAGAAGGACATGCATTTCCCTACGCGAGGGCCCAGTGAACTCCCAATATACTAGACAGAGTTCAACCTATGGCCGGGCTTACCTTCACTAGTGAATACCAGTGACAAATAAAAGATTCTGCAATCTTCTAGAAAAAGAAATGTTCACAAAAGAGGATTAAAAATTGCAATGCTTCCAGCCTCGCCAAAAGCAACAGTGGGAGCTTGAAGGTTGTTGAGCAATGCCTTCCAGATTCTAAGGGGATGTGACGCTCTGCAGAATTCTGACTTCTGCCCAGCCAGCCGTCAGTCACTGTGAGGGTAGAGGGCAACTTTTTACAAGAGTTTTAGTCATTGTAGTACCATGAGAAGGCAGGACTGCCTGTATGCCATTCAGGGGAAATTAACATTTTTGAAATGTTGTATTCTCTCATCTAGGAATATGGTGTAACTTTCTGCTCGTTCAGATCTTTTTCTTACTTGCTCCTTATTAATACACTTTGGAATGGTTTTCCCATTGCAACGTTGCATTGGGTAATTTGTCTGTTCATGCTGTGTTAAATACGTTTTTATGGCCCGGCCGGTGTGGCTCGGTGGTTGAGCATTGACCTCTGCACCAAGAGGTTGCTGGTTTGATTCCCGGTCAGGGCACATGCCCAGGTTGTGGGCTCCATCCCCAGTGGGGGACCTGCAGGAGGCGGCCAGTTGATGTTCTCTCTCACCAATGTTTCCATCTCTCTCTCCCTCTTTCTTCCTCTCTCTAAAATCAATAAAGAAAACAAAAAAGTTTTTATGGCTTAGGGAAGTTTTTTCTGTAAGAGCCAATAGAAAGATACAGATTTCAATAGGCTCTAGTGGGGGCGGGGGGGGGGGGTATTGTTGGTTTGTCCGTGCATTGATTTTTGCTAGTTTCTCCAGTGCTTTCAGGGGAGACAGGAGCCCCTGGGTATTTGCAGGCCTGTGGGTGTAGCATAGGTGAGTTGCTCTCTCCACATCTCTCGTTTCCCTACTTGTGCCCTTTACACAGTAAGTACACAGGCACACAGTAGGTCAACATCATTTAAAAAATTGATAATTTCAGAAATTAAAATGGATGGAGCAGGTTGGTCTGTGGGACACCATGGAAGTCAACCGCTTTGTTAACACCGTCTCATGGAAGTATACGCAGCCAGGAGGTGAAGACAGTGTGACGCAGGTAACATCTTGCTTTCTAGGGTATTCAGCATGGATCTTTTTTCCCTTTCTGTTGCAGAAAGATGCTGAAACTCTGTGGAGAGACAGAGGACAAGCTAGCCCAGGAGCTGATTCATTTTGAATTGCAAGTGGAGAGAGATGTTATCGAGCCCCTGTTTTTGCTGGCTGAGGTAAGACGTGTGATGAGGCGAGGCCTGAGTGAGCAGGGACGGGCAGAACGACGGGCCTGTGGTCCTTCCACTGCACTTGTATTGTTTCTGTCCCTCACCCTGCTCTGTGACTCTGCTTTTCATCGGAGACATCACTACCCAGCCACATGATCGGATTGGCAGCCCTTCACTATCTGCAGCCCCTCCCCCGCCCACTTTCCTCTCTTTTGGCGTTCCAGGGGGAAGGGGCCGAGCTGGCAGCATTACCCCCTTCCCCACCCGGTCCGCACTGCCATCACCACCCTCCCTCCCCTATCTCAAGTCTCCAGTGAAACACACGGCAGCCCCTCAGGGACCCGCATCCAAGACGCTCGGAAAGGTGTCTTGCAGTTTGTTTATATGGGTCCCCTCTCCTGGACTTTGAAGGACACAAAGCAAAACTGTTTTATTAAAAGGAAATCTTTATGTCTCTGTAACAGCTTTACTTCAAAAAACTAAGAAAGGAAATGGTTGGGGTATTTTCTTTGCCCTGAACCCTGAACCTCCTCCCAGTTGGCTTTAATTAGTCAGACAGAACCTAGCTGGTGCTGTCCCATGAACCACCTGCAACAATGGGAAGGTTCCACATCTGCCCAGCTCCACATGTGCCCAGCTCCACATGTGCACAGCTCCATATCTGCCCAACTCCACATCTGCCCAGCTCCACGTCTGCCCAGCTCCACATCTGCCCAATTCCACATCTGCCCAGCTCCACGTCTGCCCAGCTCCACGTCTGCCCAGCTCCACATCTGCCCAGCTCCACATCTGCCCAGCTCCACGTCTGCACAGGGTGGTGGCCACTCTCCTCTTGTGGCTACTGAGCTCTTGGAATGTGTTTAATGTGACTGAGGAACTCGGTTTTTAATTTTATGTAATTTTTGTTCATTTGAAAATAAAATAGCGTAGCCACATGTAGCTCCTGGCTACTGTATTGGACAGCATTGCCCTGGACTGCGTCTGGCTTCCTTTCTGGACCACCCGCAGCACCTCTACCTACTCTGCTGCTATTTCTGGACGGAATGCATGGGTCAATAATTGCCTAAGTGCCTAAAAGTATTCCAGCAGAAAATCCTCGCTATAGGACTTCGAGATAGACCAGCTCTAGACTTCTCGGATGCCACCCTATTACAGGTCCTCCCAGCCTGTATCCTCACAAAGGTGGCTGTCATTCCAGCTAACCTGAAGCAATTCCAAAGGGCAGGAGCCACCTGGGTGCTGAGGTTGCTTGTATGACCACGACACCTGTGTGACTCCCTGGCCTTGCCTCTGGGCTCCGTGATGGTGTGGGTGCCCCAGACTCTTCTCCCCCCTCCTATTGAAGTCCTTCTTACACTCAGCCCATTTCTCTCCCCCGCCTAGAAGGTGAATAGAACACATCTCAGAACACGGGATCTTCCTCACATTTTTTTCCTTCTATAAAAGCCATAGCCTGAGATGACTTTGGTTCAATTATGGCCCTGTTTTTTTTTTTTTAATTCTCACATCCTGCCCCAATTTTGCTGGGCCTGGAACCAAAATCCCTCACTGGAATGTTCAGTTAAGCCATTTTTAGAAATAAGAATATAAAAAGAGCATCCACATAACAACCACTGTGGAAGAACTTCTCATAGCCGAGAAAAGCCATGGTGATGTTGATTTATTATTCGCTTTGGAAAAAAAACTTCTTTCTATAAAAACATATCCTAATTGCATTCCCCATAGCATCTCGGGTCTCCTGAGGCCGTCCCTTCATTCTTCTGCTGTCTGTTTGGAATTAGGTCTGTGTGTCAGATCTGCCTTTGGCCCTCGTGCAAGAAAGATGTGACTGAGGCCCTGCCTTTGCTCCGAGGTAACAGCAGGGGGGCAGCCACGCCTCGGAGAGCAGGGGGCGCAGACCCCCCGAGATGCTCTGGGTCCACGCGGGTTTCTGGCAGGTGTCCAGCAAAGAAAGAGCAGAATTTAGCTTGGGAAAAGGGTTTGAGAATTTGACCTAAAAATAGGAATTGGGAGACCTCCAGCAAACTTGTTGTGTGCCTGTCAGTCATTCGTGAAGCATTTATCGTGAGCTTCAGTCTGACTGTGTCTTTCATCTTCTGTAACCACAGGTGGAAATCCCAAATATTCAAAAGCAGAGAAAACATTTAGCAAAGTTGGTACTGGACATGGATTCTTCACGAACCAGGTACAGTTGGGCGCCGTTGCTCTCCTTTCTGCTTTTGTGAAGGAACCCTGATCGTATTTGGGGTGTGGGCAGGAGTGTGTGCGTGTGGCTGCATAGTTTTATTCCCCAAGCGTTTCTTCACACCCCATGTGGCAGCCCTGGAGGTAAGAGAAGGCAGAGCTGCGGGCCCTCTTGTGGAGGCTGTGGTCTGGTGGGGAGACAGCTAGACAAGTGGCCAGACACACCAGACGATTTCAGGCCCCGGGTAATATTGGAAGGGACTGGCGAGGCTTTTTTGAGATGACACTTGATCTTAGACATAAACGATGAGAAGGAGGCAGCCATGCAAGACTGTCCACCACCATGGAAACAGCAGATGTGAAGGCCTCGGGGGAATTAGCCTGACGTTTGCAGGCTGCAGAATGGAGGCGAGCGTGGCTGGGGCAGAAGGAAAAAGGGGGCAGGGGTAGGATAGATGATGTACCGTGTCTACATCGAGGGGGGAATTATGGATTCTGGGCACCAATCCCCCGTTTCCTGAAGCTGACGGTGTAGATGTCTCCATTCTGCAGCCGTCTCTGAACACCTGAGACCATCACGAGAGAAGTAAAGTTACACGGTGCTACTTTCTCTTCTGCACCTGCCCCCAGAATGCACCGGAAAAGCCTTGTATGGCAGGGGAGCACCAGGGGCTTTGAGACGCTTTGCCGTGGCTGGCATATGTCATGGGTGTGCACATTTTTATTTTTTACCACAGTATGTGTGTGTGTGTCGTCTGCAGGTGGAAAGAATGCAGGCTCATGAATATTAATTGATATAGAATTAACTCTCTGGCTCTACTTTAGGTCTGTTTCAGGTCAATCTTAATATTCTCTGCATCTTGTTTTGATTTTCTCGCAAAAAAAGGAAACAGAAACAATATACTTGGACTGAGAGATGTGGGACAGAGTCGTGAACCAGGAGTCAGAAATGAAGGACCAGGTCAAGGTCACCTATGTTCTAGACCTGTGACCTTGGTCATGTCACTTAAACTCCCAGAATAGCTTGCACACCTGTAGACATTTGTGGTTTACTTGGGGAGGTTGTTCTGAGTGTCACATGAGACCATGTTTATCACAGCATGTCCCGAGGTTTATACTAGGAAGCTGCTCCTGTAATGAGGCGGGACATTGGAATTCTGCCTCTGGACCATAAAAAGTACTAGACCGTGCCCCCCAAACCAGAAGTAAAGTAGGTTTGATCAGCAGAAAAACGAGTTTTTTTAGCTAAATTCATGTATTCCAAACTTCAGTCGCCTGACGGATTTTTGCCATCTGCGCTTACCCAGCTCTTAAAAATTGATTCACTCTTTTAAAATGAATCTATTTAACAAAGAAGTGCTACAGCACCATGGACAGTAAATTGAAAAGCAGTGCCCTTTGCGACAAATACCAGGTGAACATAAAAGTGAACAGGATGAAAGCAAAGCCAGTGTTGGTCCCGTTGCCTTGGAAGGCCGTGATGCACTGGTCTCCTCGGTTGCGAAGGAAGAGGGGGAGTTGGCCTGTTGCTGTAGTTGTTCCGACCCAGGTCTGAGGGTCCCTCCCTTGCACCTGGAGGAATAGAGAGCAGAGTGCGTGGTGACTTGGTGTCCCTTACTGCTGCCTTGGTGCCACATTACTTGCCTCCCATAACACCAGCGCCATAGCTTCATAAGGGACAGCGTTTAAGCCCCACGTCTGGGGAGGCACATCGGATGAGTGGAGAAATGCTGACTGTCTGCTGTTAGGAGGAGGGGGCCACTGCGCTCCGGGGGGGCAGTGATTTCCTGCTGGGAGCACCTGGGTGTTTGCCCTGACGTCTCGTCTCTGCTGTGATGAGGAAAACCCCAATCTCCAGCACAGAGCCCTGGTCAGGAGGCTGGCGTCGAGCATCAGAGCCGTTCGTTGCCTTCGCCACTGACCTGTTTTCGCTCGGTACCCCAGTCCAGTCCGTATTGATTTTAATGGTGGGTTCCGAGACCTTACTGAGGTGCCATTAGGGACGCTGATCCATGATTAACAATGTTTTCATATTTTCAGCTCATCCTCTTTTATTTTTTTTGATACATCTTGATTGAAAGTATTACCGATGTCCCTTCTGTTCTTCCCCATTGCCTTCCCTCTCCCTGCCCCCCCCCCCCCACTTCACCTCATTGTTACTGGAGTCCATTGATTATGCACAAATGCAAATCAGTTCTTTGGTCTATCTCTCCCCACCCCTTCCTTCTGAGGTTTGTCAGTCTGTTCCCTGCTTCCGTGTTTCTGATCTATTTTGTCCCACAGCTTATTGTGTTCATTATATTCTACAAATAAGTGAGATCATGTGATACTTGTCTTTCTCTGACTGGCTTATTTCACTCAGCATAAGGAAATCTCTACCTCCCCTCTCCAGATTTCTATGTTTATCGACTTCAGTTCAAACCTACAATTATTTTTGTTTCAGATCCCCCCAAAACCCTGTTAGATGATTCTCATAGAAACCTGATGCGTCTCCTTTATCATGTTGGTTTTCACAGCCCACGTGTGTAGTTGTGAGTTTGGGGGTTGCGGTTGCTCGAGAGGAAAATTGTTGGCAGTACAGCCCCTCAAAAACTTACTTTCCCTGCGGTCTCTGCTGTAGTGACCATGGTGGAAGATCTAACCGTGGGCCTCAAGTATGGACTTTCCATCAGTTTCGGTTCTAGGCTTCAGAGTGAGAAACTTCTTAGCAAAGGGGTCCTCTTTCTTCCCTCTTTCATCTCAGACCAGCCATTTCTTTTTTTTTTTCAATATATTTTCATTATTGATTTTAGAGAGAGGAAGGGAGAGATAGAAACATCAGTGAGAGAGAACATTGATTGGCCGCCTCCTGCATGTCCCCCACTGGGGTTGGGCCACAACCGGCAACCTCCTGGTGATGGGTCGACACTCACCACTGAGCCACACCGGCCGGGCTCCGACCAGCCATTTCCAACCTGAGTTAATGCAGCTTGCAAAACCTTGCTGGAAGCTACAAGAAGCCAGCTCACCCAACTTCCTGCCCTCTGGCTAACCCTTCGCCCTTAGGCAGCAGGGAGATCGCGTCCTGAGAGCCACCAGGGAGAGTGAGACCAGATACAATGCTGCTGAACAGCAGGATCGCTGCCCCTCTTCTGGAAAAGCTGGGGTCTCACTGCCCCACCCCCACCCCACTGCCTCCCCGTGAGCCAGTTTGCACGTGGTAGACTATTTCCTGTGACATCCTCCTTCTAAAGCTTCCTTCAGTCCTGGTCTGTCCTTCTTGAGTGACAGTATCCAGCCCAAACAGTGTATCCAGGTAGATACCCTCTGCCTTTTAAGAGCGGCAGGCTCTTTCTGAATGTGATCAGTACATGTCCATCAGTAGTCCCGTGACCGACTTCGAAATCCACCATGACACCGGTGGATTCTGCCAAATCCAACAACTGTAGCCAGTGTTTACTTAGGTCTAAATCCAGTGAGCACATTTGTCACCATTCAAGTAAATCTGTCACCATTCAAGTATGACCCTTACTATCCTTAGATAATGTTGAAGCTTAGTAGATGTATAACAGATTATAGGTGAGAAGGATGGAGGTAAACTCCAGGAAGCTTTATGCTGAATTAAAAATTGTGAATTGGCCCTGGCCGGTGTGGCTCAGTTGGTAGAAGCGTTGTCCCGTACACTGAAAGGTAGCGGGTTCAGTTCCCGGTCAGGGCACATACCCAGGTTGCATGTTCGATCCCCCGCCCTGATCAGGGTTTCTGCGGAGGCAGCCAAGTGATATTTCTCTCTAACACTGATGTTTCTCTCTCTCTCTCCCCCCACCCTTCCCTTCTTTCTAAAAATCAAGAAAATGTCCTCTGGTGAGGATATTTTAAAAAGGGAATTGCAATGAACGGGAAAGATACACAAACATCTTTTGTGCCATAGGTTTGGTTTGGCAATGGTTCAAGAAGAAACCCAGTTCTTCCCAAAGTCTGTCTAACTTCTTGAGGGACATGTAATTCGACGGCAACCCTATGGGTCCAGGACACTTTATGTCGCTACTGAATAGCTGCCTCTGGGTCCTACTGCTATCGGCTGAATTGTGTCCCTTCCCCCAAAAATGTTTGTGTTGAATCCACCTGTGCTCCTCTGCATACACAGACACCTTCTTCTAGGGTCCATTGTCTTCATGGTCACTGGATGTCCCTTGGGCCCAGGTCTCCCCTTGGATTCAATCCCGAGTGTACAAAGGAGGGGCTTTACTTTCTGGATGCTGCTTCCTTGGCCTGACAGTTGGCCAAGGTGACGAAGGACAGCCGTGGGCTTGGCTCGGGTCCAGCTCTCTCCCGCAGACCGCTTGCTGGAGAACCATGCAAACTGGCAGCTCCTCGGCCAGCACCTGAGAGCGGCAGTGGAGGACGACAGGGACAGGGACAGGAGTCTGGGCAGATGAGACAATCAGTGTCCCACTAAAGAAACTTTCTGGCCCTGGCTGGTTTGGCTCAGCAGTTAGAGCGTCGGCCTGCAGACCAAAGAGTCGCGAGTACGATTCTGGCCAAGGGCACGTACCTCAGTTGCAGTTTGATCCCCGGCCCTGGTTAGGGTCATGCGGGAGGCAACCAGTCGATGTGTATCTCTCACTTTCTCTCTCTCTCTCTCTCTACCTCCCTCCCTTCCTTCCTCCTACTCTGTCTGAAAATCAGTGGAAAAATATCCTCAGGTGGGGATCAAAAATGAAGGAAGGGCCCTGGCCGGTTTGGCTCAGCGGTTAGAGCATCGGCCTGCGGTCCAGAGAGACCCGGGTTCGGTTCCCGCTAAGGGCACGTACTTCGGTTGCAGTTTGTCCCCGGCCCTGGTTGGTCGTGCGGGTGGCAGCCACTCGATGTGTCCCTTCACGTCGATGTTTCTCTCTCTCTCTCTTCCTCTCTCTCCCTCCCACTCTATCTGTACAAAAAATGGAAAAATGTCCTCAGGTGAGGATAAAAAACAAAAAACAAAAACAAAAATGAAGGGAGGGAGGGAGGGAGGTAGGGAGGTAGGGAGGGAGGGAGGGAGGGAAGGAAGGAAGGAAGGAAGGGAGGGAGGGAGGGAGGGAGGGAGAGAGAGAGAGAGAGAGAGAAAGAGAGAGAGAGAGAAAGAGAGAGAGAGAGAAAGAAAGAAAGAAAGAGAAAGAAAGAAGAAAGAAAGAAAGAAAGAAAGAAAGAAAGAAAGAAAGAAAGAAAGAAAGAAAGAAAGAAAGAAAGAAAGAAAGAAAGAAACTTTCCTGTTTCCCTTCCAGAAACCCCTTCTGGACTTCTTGTTGCTCTAACTTCTCTTGCATTTGCCTTCTTCCCCTTCTCCTGGTCATTGAAACGTCATACCCCGATTTCTGGCTGTTTTCTCTCCCTGGGCCTTGTTAAAGCGTGTGTTCTATCTTCCTCTCCTCTGATCTGATGCAAAGCGTCCTTCCCAGCGGCTGCCGTCAGAGCAGCCCCCTCGGTGGGAAGAAGTGGACTTGCTGCTCTTCACATTGTGAAGCTCAAACTCTTCCTGGACAAGAATCTGTTTCTTTCCCTAACAGAGCAGGGCAGTTCTTGGGTGTATTTGTAGAACAGCTGACCCTTGAAATTCATGATTAATGTCACTTTTCCTAGCAGACTATTGCCTATACAAGTTTTTCCAAGCTTCCCTTCCTATTTTCTTATTCTCTGTCCACCAAGGGCCCATATTGAAGCATCTTATAATATCTTATAATTTTGTAAAATCTAAATAGATTACTTATATACAGAGTGTCCCAAAAAATGTATGTAGGATGTCTGTTACATTTTGAAAATGAAATGCATTTCTTCCATGCTGACCTCCATAAGCTACTGTGTTTATAGACTCAGTGGACAAGGAGCCTACTGTGTCCCCACAGCTCCCACGATCTAGTGTAAGTGCACCCCTCCTTCAGGGCCTGCTTTGGTAATTCCCTCATAACGACACAGCAACTGGAAGTGTTTGTACTTCCTCAGACGGCTAATCTCTGCACAAAGATAAATGCTTAAGAAAATATAGATGAGGTAACTCAATGTTGCTAGGATTATGTCTTCTTTCTTTTTATTTTTTTTTTATTTTTCTACTTACTAGTGTTATAGAACAGAAAGAGTCCATTCACCCAGCGCTGGCAGAGCTCAACACTGAACGCCAAGAACTGCAGCAGAGAGAGTCGACTGCTCACGAGTTAACTCGTGTTTTCCTGCCCAGACGTTGCGGACCGTTCACGAGTTAACTCGTGTTTTCCTGCCCAGACGTGGCGGACCGTTCATGAGTTAACTCGTGTTTTCCTGCCCAGACGTGGCGGACTGCTCACGAGTTAACTCGTGTTTTCCTGCCCAGATGTTGCAAACCGCTCATGAGTTTAACTCATGTTTTCCTGCCCAGACGTTGCAAACCGTTCATGAGTTAACTCGTGTTTGCATGCCCAGACGTTGCGGACCGTTCATGAGTTAACTCGTGTTTTCCTGCCCAGACGTGGCGGACCGCTCACGAGTTAACTCGTGTTTTCCTGCCCAGATGTTGCAAACCGCTCATGAGTTTAACTCGTGTTTTCCTGCCCAGACGTTGCAAACCGTTCATGAGTTAACTCGTGTTTGCATGCCCAGACGTTGCGGACCGTTCATGAGTTAACTCGTGTTTTCCTGCCCAGACGTGGCGGACCGCTCACGAGTTAACTCGTGTTTTCCTGCCCAGATGTTGCAAACCGCTCATGAGTTTAACTCGTGTTTTCCTGCCCAGACGTTGCAAACCGTTCATGAGTTAACTCGTGTTTGCATGCCCAGACGTTGCGGACCGTTCATGAGTTAACTCGTGTTTTCCTGCCCAGACGTGGCGGACCGCTCACGAGTTAACTCGTGTTTTCCTGCCCAGATGTTGCGGACCGCTCATGAGTTAACTCGTGTTTTCCTGCCCAGATGTTGCGGACCGCTCATGAGTTAACTCGTGTTTGCATGCCCAGACGTTGCGGACCGTTCATGAGTTAACTCGTGTTTTCCTGCCCAGACGTGGCGGACCGCTCATGAGTTAACTCGTGTTTTCCTGCCCAGACGTGGCGGACCGCTCATGAGTTAACTCGTGTTTTCCTGCCCAGACGTGGCTGACCGCTCACGAGTTAACTCGTGTTTTCCTGCCCAGACGTTGCGGACCGCTCACGAGTTAACTTGTGTCTGCACTTGCATTAGTTATTTCAATTTTCGAAATTCAGGGTAATATAGGATTATTATATTTGTGACTCTTCGCCATGAGGGTCGAAGTTTGAAAACCAGCACACCGTTCTGTAGTTTTAAAGTAGCTGGGGAATGGCTATCTGCTGGTTCAAATGAGTGCAGCTCAGAACCTGACACTTCTGGTCCTTCTACAAGAGCTCCTCACATTGATTCACCTTTTAAGCTTCAGGGACGCTAAAGAGACCATGTTTTTTTTTTTTTTAAATCCAACTAGAACATGTAAAGTGTGTGTTTCAAAAGGTGATTGATATACAGTATACCACACCAAAAAAATTACTAAAATATGTGTATAAAATATAAGATGTAGAAGATATGTACAAAGTTTCATTTAAATTCATTATGTATAAATAAAGTACACTGACGCTTATTTAGATTGCTTCACTTTCATACACGATTACGAAAATATAGCCGGTGACATGAGATCACTTCTGCACAAAATTGAGGGTCAACAGTGTGCTAAGGGTGGCACCACCCAGGAGAACGGGAAGCTGACGCCCCAAAGCCCAGACTCCTGGATAGTGTGCGGGTTACAGACAATATAGGGCAAAATCTCAAGGCACTGTGGGTTTGGGGTTCGGGGTTGTGCTGGGAGCTGATTGGTTGGCCTTGAGGTTGGGAGGGAGAGAGGATTTCTAGAGCTAGGATTTAACACGAAATTTAATCAAAGCCTTGGTTGGGCCGTGGAGATTTCACCGCGCGTACGTGATTGGTTGCAGACGCGTAGGTGGGTGTTTCCAAACAGGAAAGCCCGCAGGACTGCAAGGGATTTGCCTCAGAGACCACGGTGGGGTGTCATTTGGCTTCAGTGTTCAGGAGATAACGGGGAAGAGGGTGGCTGACTGGCACTGCTTGCCCTAGCTGAAGGGGCCGCTGAGCCTCAATGTGGCGCTTCCTGGGTCATAGTTCTCACCGGCTGTTTTCTCAGCCTTCCCAGTGTCCCAGGGCTGGGCTCGGCTCACATCTCTCTTCTTTTTCTCGTTTTCCATCAGGTGGCAGCAGACTTCCAAGTCTTCAGGTTTGTCCAGCAGCTTACAGCCTGCGGGTGCCAAAGCTGATGCCCTCAGGGAAGAAATGGAGGAGGCTGCCAACAGAGTGGAGATTTGCAGGGTACCCCCCTCTTTGCTCCTCTCTACCGGGACAGATGGGGGAGCCCTAAGGGAGTCCTTTTGATTCACTGGAGTGCTAGTAAAACCCTAATAGTGAGTTTCTATGCTTGAGCTAACTGACCCCGGGCTTGCCTGCTGGCCTGGCCAGAGAGCCGGCAGGAGTCCTGAGAGTTGGGGCTTTGATGTTGCCTAGACAGAGGGGCAGCAGGGGAGATCACTGGTGTTGCTGACCTTGGTGTCTGCTTGAGGCTTTTGTGCGTCCCAAGTCAGTTTGTAGGCTGCACGGAACAGTTGATAATGTAGACGATACATAAGCCTCAACTCACTGTTGGTATTAAATTATCTTGTGTGCCTTTCAATATATCTGAGCCCCCTCACCAGTCCTTTGCCCGCTGGGAGACGCTCACCTACGAAGTTGAAGTGCTAGCCCAGGAGATAGTCACAGAGCAGAGAACTTCGCCCTGGTGGAGAGGAGTACCTCGTTCTAAGAAACACACCTCCACACTCGGGTGATGGAGACCCTTCATTACACGTGGTCTGATGTGTTCCATCTCCTCCCCCACAAACGTTTCATAGGACTAACTCAGCAGTACCATTCCTGCAATACCATTAGCAGCACCGGTCTATATATATGTACTGCTGCGCATATGGGATCTGCCAGTTTGGGTTTAAATCCCCAGAACAGAAATCTCCTATTTCTGGGACTCTGCTGGGTGCCTGTTGTCTTAATCACAGTTATAAGGGAGAGTGGCCACTTTGCATGCAGACATCTCTCTTCTTTGTGGCTCTGTCTAGTCTTGGTAGCTTGTCCATCTGCTTATCTTTTATGATCACCCCATGCAGCTGACTTTGACCTTGCCTTCAGGTGCCATTCAGAGTCAGATGGGATTTTTCTTTGTAATCAGAAACGTTGAAATATATTTAAAGAATTCATTATCTCTCAGCCTGCAGTACTGTGTAACCAGGTAAAGTAAGACCACTACTTCAGATCCAAGGTCCATCGTGAGTAAGGCTGACTTGCTGTTTGAACTCCTGTGTAAATGGCAAATGTCTAGCTGGTGCTGCTCATGAAGTATCTCTTCTCTCACGTGGTTTCACCTTTGCTCGGTGTATTCTCTGCCCATTTACCATGGATTTGTGTTCTCCAGTTAAGAATCTTGTTTCTTAACAAAATTACGTCTTCAGTAGACACGGGATGGTGGTATTAATAGTGGATCAGAATGTGAATATCCACATACATCAGAATAAAAGTTTGTCAGCTTCATTCTGTCTTGTGTAGCTTCTTCCATTGGCTGTTTTAACCAAAGACTATATTAAATTCCTCTTGAGGTATTACAAAAGTAACACTTGTTCATCATAATCAGCGAAAAAATATGAAACTATTTTAAGGGAACACTGATAATTCTCCCTCCTTCCTGTCCAGCAACCCACCCCTCTGTTTGTAAGAAGGGTGCCCAGTTTTCCTTCCTCACCAGTACTGAGTACAGTGTGCGGTGAGCAGTGCACTCTGTCGCATGCTGAATGGTCACAAAAGTGGTAAGGATAAGGAAGCCAGCGTGAGACCACATAGCCTTCCACCCGTTCTTCATAATCGTACAGACATACACTCACAGACACCATTTTCCCTGTTACTTGTTTATGTTGTTTATAGTAATCTGCCACGTGCTTTTCTCAATTAACAATACATCCTAGATATCTCTCCAGGTTGGTGGCTATAGATCTAACTTAGTCTTTTTAATAAGGTACATAATAGTCCATGGTAGGGAGAGATGGATAGAGAGATCTATATATATATGATGATTTATTTAGCTATTTTCTTAGTGATGGATATTCAAACTAGTGTGTTTTGGTATTTTTGTTGTGTTTTGCCATTAAAATGATGCAGTCGACATCTTTCTATGTACATTCTTTTTCTCTCTTTTTTTTTTATCCTCACCTGAGGACATTTTTTCATTTTTTGTTTAGATAGAGTGGGAAGGAAAGGGAGAGAAAGAGAGAGAGAAACATCGATATGAAAGGGACACATCGGGTGGCTGCCACCTGCACGACCCAACCAGGGCCGGGGACAAACTGCCACCAAGGTACTTGCCCTTAGCGGGAGCCAAACCTGGGTCTCTCTGGACCGCAGGCCAACTCTCTTACCGCTGAGCCAAACCGGCCAGAGCTGTATATTCTTATACATTGGTAATTTTTCCCCTTTAAGATCGATTTCCAATATTGATATTTTTTTAGATCAAAGATGATATATACGTTTTAAATTTTAATAGGTATTGACAGTTTATTCTCTAAAAAGGAAATTGCAATTTATATTCCCACCAGCAATATACAGAATCACACCTTTCGCCCTGGCCAGTTTGGCTCAGCGGTTAGAGCGTCGGCCTGCGGTTCGCAGAATCACACCTTTCTCCTCACCTCCCCTCACCTTTCCCTATAATGTATGTTGTTCCTCTTTTTAGTTTTTGCCAGTCTGATGAGGGGAAAAAAACCTATTTCTATGTTATTATAATTTTAATTTCTCTGAATATTAGTAGTGATGAGTATATCTTCATGTATTAATTGGACATTCTTCATCTATTCATAGGCATTTCCAGTTTGAGAAATTACCTATTTATATTGGCAATTGGACCAATATTTTTATTGTTTCTTTTAATATCAATTTATCTAAGTTCTCTGTATTTTAGAGATATTAAATGTTTTTCTGTCTGTTGTGCTACAGATACTTTTCCTAGTCTTCCATTTGTCTTTTGACTTGGCTCCTATTGATATCTGCCATTAAAAACGTCATCATATACATTTTCTTTGCATGGGAAGAGATTGCGGATAGTCCACCAGGCGTCTTCCACTGTGTTCTTCTAACTCATTCTTCTTTCGTTTTCTTTTAATGTTTTTAATGTATTTTACACACCTATTTTGTGCATTTTAATATACCTGAAACTTACTTGTCTACATGGTGTGAGGTAGAATTGTGTTGGAGTTTTTTCCCAGATGAATAGCCAGTTATGCCAGCACCATTTATTAAATAAGCCCCCTCTCCCTGAAGTGAAATCCTGTCATCTAGTTCTTCTAGTGTATTTCTGGGCTCTATGTTCCATTCATCTGTTTGTCTGTTCCTGGGTTAGTACTCTACGGTTTCTATTTAATGACGTTGTAGCAAGTATAATATTTAGTAAGATAACTCTACTCTCTCATCATTATCTTGCCTAGTCTATGACCTCTGTTTTATTACAGTGATTGAGTAGTTTTATTTATATACTGAGCTGGTCCTCTTGAGAGTACGCACTGGTGTTTTGTTAAAATTTCTTTTCTGACTCTTATTTCTACTTCTGTGGTTGCCAGCTGCTCTAAATATTCACTGTGGTCATCCTCCCTCCTGTCTCTGGGTTCCCCTAAATAGGCCATTTCCCCTTATATCTTTATGATTTTGTATTTCCTCAGCAGGCAAGACAAACCTTTATGATCTCTTACATTGTGGTAGTTCAGCAAAATGAGCGTTTGTGGGCTGCAGGAGAGCAGTGTGGCCATCTGGCTTCTCTTTGTGTGGGCACAGAGAGCACCAAGCAGAGCTCCTTTGGTTTCTGGGACACAGAGGTTTAGCCTACCCAGAAACCCAAGTCAAGGTGGGTTCCATAGACGGAACCTGGTGGGACCTTCGGCTAATGGGCAGGTGCAACATTCCCTGCCTACATTTCTTTGGAAGCCCATCCAATCTCTGCCTTGCTTGCATATTTCAAAAAGAGACGAACCCCCACACTTAACAATTTGTAACTGCATTCATTCTCTTTTCTTCCTGAGGCCCCTAAAATAACCCCTGAACCAATACATCAAAAGGGATTTAAGGTGGTGATTTTTCAGTAAGAGGAGAGAAAGCATGAGGAAGGACCCATGAACAATGAAATGACAGCAGAGAAGACAATAACTAGAAGACTAATCCACTTGATGAGGGCAGTGTCAGTTTTATTCTGTTTTGTTTTTTATTCAAAGTATAGTATAGGCTGCAGTGCTAGGGTTTTTACTGAAAGATGATACTTTCCACCTTTACCGTTCCTGCTTCTCCTTCCCCTTGAACTGTATCACCCATATTCTGTCACTCATTCTTACCGTAAATCCACCCACATTGCTGTCTTTCCCACTAAGCCTCAGACTCTCTCTTTTTAAATTTGTGTCTCTTATTACCATCTTATTCTTTGCCAATTTATAATCTTTGCTCTTTGGAAATCAAGCTTGAATCCAAAAAAGATGGCAACTGGAAGACGGGTGTCTAGTTCACTTAGTCCTCCTCACCATCAAACTTATTAAATGAGCGTATGTTGTCAGACCAAAAGACAACAATGAGCCTTGACCCCTAGCTCCTCTTATTATAAAATGGTTTAGTATTCTCCTAATTCAATAGATGAGATCCTGGCAGATCCCATTACTGCCCTCTAATTGGAAGGCTGTGGAATCATTAAGGAACACTCAAATTACTTGGCTCCCTCTGTCAGAAGAACCTTCCTCTATAAGATCAAAGGGCAGGCATGGCTACAACCCAGTTGAAAGTCAGCTGGTGGCAGAGTGCCCACTGGTGCAAATGCTCCTGACACACTGATGGGCTCTTCTCCAGCATGCCAGGTAGTGGCACCACTCAGGAGGCTGAGCACAGCCGTATCACTTATGCAAAGAGGAGGAAAGAGCACATGATCAACAGGAAGATGTTCCTGGTCTAGTATCTTCAAACTCAGAGAAATCATAATCATGGAGAAGTGAAGCTGACACACTGCAGTGCTCCCCACCTACCGCCCATAGGCTGTTGTATCATACTTGAGGTTCTGAGAAGATTCTATCAACACAGGCAGTGAGGGACAAAAAAGGCTTGGTTCCCATTTTAAGGTTAGAAAAAATAGTCCTGAATTGAGTATTTTCCTTTGTTTGAAAACAGTAATAAGTAATGAAGTACTCAAAACTTAGAACCCTTTTGAAAAATGATTTACTGATGATCACAACACATTTCAGACAACATATCTT